AAAGCAAATCCATTTCATGCTCCTTTAAAGATCACCATCTTTCAATAAAATTTACAATCTCAACTTATTTCAAAACTTCCAATTTTTAATCAATAGGGGCAGTAAATATAACACTGGTAATCCCTAGGTTGGTGTCTGTAAGTAGGCTCAACGAGAACTACCAAATTGTCATTTTTACCGGTATCAACCGGAAGGCTCGACACCTGTAACGCCCTCAAAATAATAACAGTAAAACCCATCAACATAGACATGCATTGGTACAAAAGATAAATATTCTTCTATTCATTAGAGTAGTTCCTTACAAAAATATTACATGTTAACAACAAAAGCAAGTGCCCTACGGGCTTACAGCTTTCCAAGCTAACACTAAGTTACAAAAAGAAGAGTACTAACTCAATACATATAAAGCCCTTGGCTTGAATTTACATGTAAGACACCAAAAGAAAATAAACAAAACAATCCGCCTGCCTCTAGCCTCCAAAGCTAGGTCCTTGGAGGTGGCATGCTACCTGTACCTGAAAATGATGTCCCATAAAAGGTGAGCCACAGCCCAGTAGAAATACACTAAACCAGCCATGAACAATGACTAAAAGATTAGCAGTTGATAGATGGTCAACACAGGTACATCTACATATATCACATTCCGATTTCATGACATTAAGTCCATGTTACATTTCATTTCTTATTTCTTTTTCAACCTTGAGTTTAAAAACAAGGCTCAAAACTTAGTCAAATAACTTGATGAGAATAAGACTTATCTCAAAACATTTTCGAAATTCATGGTGGATGCACATTGTGATGCCGTATTAATAACACATAAGTCACTTCCATACTATACGAGCGATACACATTTTGGTGTTGTATCAACATAACATAGAAACACTTCTACACTTCACAATTGATAACGATATACATTTTAGTGCTATATCAAATCAAAACAAACACTTCAAATTCGCAGCCTGATACACATTTTAGTGCTGTATCACTGTCACAAGATTCGGTTTAGAGGTTCAGCCCCTTTCTTCCAATAAACCGTGGAGTACAACCCCTTTCTCCTCCCACACAATACAATGTATATACACAATTATCATATACAAATTAAATCAATCAATATACATTTGAGTGCTGTATTGTACCAACTACCATATTTAATGGCTTACTCAATTTATTAGTTTTAGTTTGCCTAATCATCATGCATTGTCTACAACAATCAAGACTATCCTCCACCGATAGCCCAAAGTAGTTATTTCTATACTAAAAATAAATGCACCAAATGGATATATAATCAACATTTCAACGTTCTCAGTTTAATTCCTCTTTTCTTCAAATTAATTATACCAATTAATTTATCAATGTAATTAGAGCATTTCCCATAATTAACATCACAACCCTAAGGTTCCATTTTCACCAATAAACCAATATTGATCCCATTTCTCTATGCCAAACATGCATGTAAGTTTATATAAACAAAACCCCAACTTTTGTAGAATTTACACAAAGGCCCAAACTTCCTCAAAATTACCCAACAACCCCCAACTCATCAAAATACTAAAATTCAAAGACAAAACTCATGAGAAGGAGTAGGATATCCCTACCTCAAAGTTAGAGCTCAAATGGGGAAGGAGAAGAAAGTGAAAATGCTCCAAACACCACGATTCTCGGATCAAAACGAAGCCCTTGACGATCAATAAACTTTTTACAGAGGTCGGAGGATAGAGAGACACTCTAACTAGATCAAACCCTAGAGAGAAGGGAGTTTTTAGAGAGAGGAGCTCTCAAAATAGCTTTTTAGAAAGTAAGAGAGAGAGAGAGAGAGAGAGAGGATGTAAAAAGTGATTTTAAAATGCCCAGCTGCCAACTGATATACGACATTCCCGCTCGAGCGGAGAACACAACGCTCGAGCGTCAAGAACAAAAAAACTAGGAACGCTCGAGCGCAATAAGGCCCGCTCGAGTACCAAGACACAAGAATAAAGTATATTCGTTCGAGCGCGAAAACCAGTCCGCTCGAGCGTGGATTTCCCCCTCCCAGAACTTACACAAAAAAGTATTACCCGCTCAAGCGCCAAAGTACCCGCTCGAGCGCGACCGCTCGAGCGTAAAGAAACCCGCTCGAGCGTAAAAATCACACCTGCAGAAGTTTTGCAGGGACACGAAACTCTGAGAGTGTGCAATCTCCGCTCGAGCGCAACAAGACCCGCTCGAGCGGAACAACCAAAAACCTGGCAACAAGATTTTAGACCAAGTTTCAACCCACCTGTTCAAAACAAGCCCAACATATCCTAAAACTCAAACAAATGGAATTTAAGGACGACAACAAGATAGATACAACTACCAACTCCACGGAACCGAGTCCGGAATACAATAGAACAGTAAAAGGACAACCGGGATCGTTATAACACCTATCTGCGCGGATTTCTGGTCTTTCACCATGGACACTCATACCAACTTATCAAATTCAACTACACCCACTATCCTGACTTACCACGCATTTACCCCATTCACATTACCATAGTTCTCATTTCAATATAATCTTTTTCAAAGTAAATGTCTTCCAACACATGTCAAGATGCACAATAATAATAATAACTCAATTGAAACATGATGCAATAATTACTATTTCGTAACATTTTACTATTCTCAAGATATCTCTACAACAATATCAATTAATCCCAATTCTCATCTCTTCTTTTCAAAGCCCTTTCACAAAATACCTATGTGCCATCAATTCATAGTAACAACAAACTCTCACCATGCACAAACCACTACAAGTTAGCCTCTTCAAGGCAATATGTGATGTTCTCAACATAATTTCCAAGATTTCACAACTTTCATGTTCCATGATACATAACCATTTACTATTTTCCAATAACACATGTTCAAGCATTTAACAATATATTACAATAACATCTTATGTCTCATACATCAAATAAATTTCCATTTTTACCAAACATGCCATGAGATTTACTCTCATTCATCATTTGACACAAAATGATAAAGATTTTCATAAGTATTTCCTTATTTTCCCAAAATCCCCAATTTCTAGGGTTTTTCATCAAGGCAAAACACTTCTCATTTCTTTGGTAAAACCTCATTAAAACCACATTTTCTTAAGTTTATAAATGAACAACCAACAAGGAGTAATAAGGATTGAGTTTTGGAAACACACATTTAAAACTCTCTACCTTTTGAATCAAAATGTAAAATTAACACAAAAGTTCAAGAAAACCTTTAAATCATCAACAATGTAGCAAAACTTGTATATATAACTCAAGAATGTCCCTACCTCAAGCTTTGAAGGTGATAAGAGAAGGAAACCCTAGAAACCAAAGGCTGTAGAAGGTGACCGCACACAAAGTAGTTCTTGAGGTGCTCTACAATATTGATGAAGGAACTATGGGCTAATCCTCAATCGATGATGAAGGATCAAAGTTTTAAACTTGTTTTTGAGGTAGAAACATAAAGAGAAGGGAGAGAGATATATTTTTAGAGAGAGAGAGAGAGATGTAATAAAAGTGATACATTCAGCCAAAATAGAGGAATAAAAGCAGGGATTTTGGACTGCCAGTCGTCCCGCACGTGCCTTGCACGTGCGGAGCCTCACTCCTGCACGTGCATATAATGCAGTGTGCTGCCCCAGCTTCCCCTGTAATCCGCACGTGCGGCCTTTCTCCCACACGTGCGGCCTTAGGCCCCCGCACGTGGGGCCTGCCAACCAGTCTAGAAAATTTTCTAGTTCGACTCCCGACCACTCCGCAGTCGTCCCGCACGTGCCTTGCACGTGCGGCTTCTATCTCCGCACATACGGCCCTCCACTTGCGCACCCTGGCCCGCACGTGCATATAATGCAGTGTGCTGCCCCAGCTTCCCCTGTAATCCGCACGTGCGGCCTTTCTCCCACACGTGCGGCCTTAGGCCCCCGCACGTGGGGCCTGCCAACCAGTCTAGAAAATTTTCTAGTTCGACTCCCGACCACTCCGGACCTGATCCCACGCTCTCCGAAACTAGTGAAAATCGACACTAAACAAAACAAGAACAGAGACTCTATTTATAGAGCTATTTCTGGTCATTTCAAACCCAACGAAGATAAAAAAAGAATAGAGGAAGGAGAAAAATAAAGGGGACAAGGACCCGGTCATTACAACGTAAGTGTAATTTATCTGAAATTTAGCTGACAAATAAGCATTGGAGTTTCTTATTGGGAAAATTACTATCTAGTCCTATGTAGGGGATCTATTTCCTTTCTAATCCCATTATATTTTTAATAGACTAATAGGTCCACAGTTTTTTAAGTTTTGTACCCGGAGGTCCCGTTTTTTATTTTCTTATTTTTTAAATGATTGTATTACCCTTTGATTTGATATATATATATATATGTATATATATACGTGAAAAATCAAATATTCGCCTATGCGAGGTTGTCTAAGATCTCGATCTCTCTCCGTGATGCCGATCTCTTTGTGTTGTGAGGTCGATCTCGTTGTGCTGTGAGGTGGATTTTGTCTGTGATTTGAATATTTGTGTATAGGCGATCTCTGCGTACGCTCTGTGTATGTGTGTATGTGTGTGTGTATATGTGTGTGTGTGTCTGTGTTTGTGTCTCACTCTGTCGACACATATATGTATGTATATATAGATAAGCAAATTTGTGTGATCTTTGGTTTGTGTTTGGCAATATTGTTATAGTTCTTTGTTTTGTGATAAACTTTGTTTGTTTGATACTTATTTTGTGATTTTTGTATGTGATATAGTGTAATGATTTTGATTTTGTTGATTTTGTTTGTTGTATAGTGTAATGTGCTTTGAAGTTGTAGTTTGGAATTGTGAATTCTAAAGTTTTGATATTGATATGTCGTAACTATATAATTTTGCAGTTTAGAATTGTGAATTGTGAAGTATTGATACTGATATGTTGTGACTGTATAATTTTGCAGTTTGGAATCTGTGAACAATTGTTTGTTGGTTTGTGATTTTGTAATATGGAGGGGTGTTTCATATTAATGTGCAAATACAGTAAGTCTTGTGCTGCTATTACGATTAGTGAGGGATGTAGTTATCATGAAATTGTTGAGAAAATATACGCGAAGTTCAAGGAGTTGAGTGTTGGTAACTTTTGTTTGTTTTTCTCTATTCTTGGATATTCTAATTGTATTGTTGAATGTGATGATGATTTGGGGAATATGATGTCAATGGTAGGTTATAGTGGTTCTCATGTTGTTGATATTGTTGTGGGTGATAGGAGAATTGTGGAGGTTGGTGATAATTCTTCTGGGATTGATTTTGTACATTGTGAGAGTTCTTTGGTTGACGATTGTGATGATTTTGGTGGTTTGTTGCCTAGTTTTTATTCAGAACCAGAGAGAGTTTTGTTGTCTGCTAGTTGGAAGGGGATTATACACAGTGTTGGTTAAGAATTTGAAGGTGGAGTGCCGGCGTTCCGCATTGCATTGACTAAGTATGCAGTTGAGTGTGGTTTTGCAGTGAATTATTTAAAGAACGATGCAAAAAGAATAACTGCTGAATTTATAATGAAATCGTCTACGAGTTGTAAATGGTTTGTGCATGGAAGGGGTTGATGAATTTTGGTATTTTTTTTAATTATGAAGTTGGATAATGTGCATACTTGTGGGGTTATTGCTTGTAGATCTTGTAGCAAAATGGTTGGTTTTAGACTTGTGTATGATATTGTGCATAATGATATCAGTGATAATCCGTTGACTCGTTCTATTGAAGTTAAAAAAAAGTTAAAGAAGCAATATGGTATAGATGTTTTTTATCGGGTTGCATGGTTAAGAGTTGATAAGGCTGGTGGGTTGTTTGGTGATTTTGAAACTTCTTTTGACCAACTTCGATGTTACCTTGAGACGGGTATGAGAACGAATCTTGGAAGTGTGTTTGAATTAGATGTGGATGAAAGTAGTGGGTGTTTTCAGAGGTTATTTGTGGCATTTCATGGATGTTTGTATAGCTTTCAATTTTGTCGTTCGTTGTTGTTTGTTGATGGTACATTCTTGAAGGGGCGTTACAAGAGGCATTTGCTTGCAGCAACATCAAAGGATGGTAATCAAGGTATGTATTTATTTGTAGTTAGTATAGTTTTGGTTTGTTAGTGTGTTTTGGTAGTTAGTGGATTTTGATTTTTGTAATTGTATTGTGAGTTTGCTAATTTTTGCAATTTCATGTTATTTTGTTTTCAGGTCTGTTTCCTTTGGCTTTTGCGATTGTTGATGCTGAAAATCAAGATAATTGGATATGGTTTTTAAGTCAGTTGTTAAAAGCTGTTGGTTCAGGCCGGAGATTGACCTTTGTGTCTGACCGTCAACATGGATTGCTAGACGTTCTTTCAATGGTTTTTCCCAATGCACAGCATGCATATTGGTTGAACCTTTTGAAGAGAAATTTGATTGACAAATTGGTAGGACTTCGTACTAACTATAAGCTAACTTTGATGAAAATATTAGTTAAATGTGCTTATGCGCCAACTGTTGCTTTTTTCTAACATTATATGGAGAAATTGAGGCATATTGCTAGAAATGGTAGAGTTGATAGTATGTTGGATGGTTTGCAAAATGATAAGTGGGCCAATGCATTTTTTAGAGGGAAACGATATGGTGAGATGTCATCTAATGCTGCCGAGTCTTACAATAATTGGATTGGTGGGGCTCATGAGTTGCCTATTACTTGTATGGTTGATATGATTAGAGTTCAAATCATGACTCAATTGTCTAATAGAAAAGCTGAATCTAAAAGATGGACTACCAAATTGTGTCCAATTATGGAAAAGAAGTTGGTAGACTCTTTGAAGCTAGTTAAGTCTTGGGATGTGATTGTTGCTAGTGATACTGTGCTTGAGGTTCATTCTTATATTTCTTTTTATGTTGATATTGGTAGACAAACTTGTTCTTGCCATGAAAGGCAATTGAATGGTTTTCCTTATTGTCATACTATGCATGCTTTGTGTAGTAATGGTCAAGATGTGTATGATTTCATTGATTCTTTTTTTCATGTGGATTGTTTTAGAGATTCGTATAAGGAATCTGTTTATCTAGTGCCTTCATGTGAGAGATTTGACTTTGATGGTGTCGGTATTTCGATTATCAAATCTCCTATAACGAAGAAGTAGCCCGGACGGAACAAAAAGAAGAGGATACCTTTTAGGGGTAAGAATGTGAAGCAAATAAAGTGTGGGAGGTGCTTGAAATATGAGAATCACAATAAAAAGACGTGCAAGGTTGCTATTTGAGGCCATAGTCCATTCTTTTGAATTTGTATTTGAAGTTGAGGAATTATGATAATAAAAAATGATACTTGGTATTATGGAAGTAATGAATAAAGTTGGTTGCATTCTTTTTTCTTTTTTGGTGTGTTCTTTAGTTATTGAAATTATTTTGTAATGTTTTATTTATTTATTTATTTATTTATTTATTTTGTGGATTTGGTTGGTTTTATTTTTGTGGAATGCTGAGAAGGTTGTTAAAAATTTCTTATTGAAACTGTATAATCTTGTAGTTTTACTACATGATATATTTATTTAATATTTCGTAGTGACAAAACTGTATAATTTTGTAGTTTTATTTACAATTTTGAAATGCAGTTCATCTATTTGTTTGAGTCATGAAATTGGATAATGCTACAGTTTCAAAAATTATGTAGGAAATACTATAGCATTCAAGGCACTCACGATAATAAAACTGCATAATTATGTAGTATAATTTTTGTTTGAGTGATGAAACTGCATAATTTTGCAGTTTTAAGAATTATGAGAATCAATCTGATAAAACTACATAATTTTACAGTTTTAAGAATTATTAGAAACAACTTGATGAAACTGCATAATTTTACAGTTTGAAAAATTATTAGAAACAACATTTCATGTATGAATTTATATGCAACCACAAATGTGACGACAATAATAAGCACAAGAACACAAACAAGAATAATAAGCACATGAAGAACAACAACAACAAGAATAATAACAACAAGAAGAGCAACAACAACATCAATGACAATAATCATTTTTGCCACGATAACCACAAGAAGATCAATTACCAAAAGCATAAAAAGTACTTGTCACATGTAAAAAAAAAAAAAGTACAAAAATATGTTCACACGAGTATTTGCATTGTAAATAAGCTTGTTCATTGTTTATATGGTTTGGTATGTTTTGTCAACATTTGGTAGTGCTCAAGTTTCCAAGATCGGTTCTTATCATTGAGGAATTGACTGATGATTTTTTCTCGAAATTTGACCCACTCAATTGGTCGGAGTGATTTCTGCAAAGGTTGTCAGTTGATATATTGGTTGATAACATTGCAGATGGCGATTACACAATCATTCCTGCAAAGTTTTAGATGAAGTTAATTAGTTAAGTAAAACTGCAAAATTAGCATATTGAAACATTAGTTATTAAGTTTGTATCTTACGAGTGTGGGGTTTGTTGTGGGCATTCCTCAATTGATGCAATTACTGTCTTGCACTCTTGAGATAATAACATGTTTCCTTGATTACTGAATAATGCTTTATTCCATCTCAGTTGATGTTGTTGCTACCAAATAGTTAGTGGGTGTTTTTGTTAGTTATAGTGATGTGCTGAGATGTTTTGAAAGAAATGGAACTAAGTAGGAAATTTTATTTAACTTATAATTTCCTTTGCAATTTCAAAGTGCTTGTTGTGACATTCTTTTGGTGGCCTCAAAGAGTCATAGTGCCTCCATATCCCATTAGCAAAGACCATAATTGTCCAATGGTTGTCATGGTTGATTGGAAAATGGATATATCTATTTTTCTTTGCTTCTGGAAAATGGTTGCCCATCATTTTTTTTTCTTAATGCCTGATCTTGGTTTTGTAGTGGAGTCTGTAATTTATATATGTTTGAAATATGTAATAAAAGTATGTAGTAAGACATGTTAAGAAAGTAGAAAATTTTACAGTTTGAATAATATTAAAAGGTATGTTAATAGTTTTGCTTACATTGATAAGTGTTGAGAAAACGTAAGATCTTCCTACGTATGGATTTCTTGCAAACGCTAGATCATGTTTCTTAAATTTTTCAATTAACGGTTGGAGTGCCAATTTCATTTCTGGGAAGGCATCAATAACCTGAAACATGTTATATATGAGAATGTGTTAGATTTGTGGAATATGCTATTGAATATAAACAAAAACTGTAAAATTATGCAGTTGGAGACCTATATTCCCATATAAGGCTTCCCTGTTGGTCAATCTGCATATATCTGAAAAGTATATGCAATTTTCATCTTCGCTGCTAGACCAGACATAAGCAGTTGATTGTGTGTTGTTGATGAGTTGAATTTGGTCTTGGTCTTTTTTGGATAGGCTATGCCAAACCTTGTTTGTTTTGCGGCATGAAAGGGCGAGTGGCTTGTTGTGGATTGATTCTTCCTTGAAATCATCATCACTTTTCAATACTTGAACTTGTGTCTTCGCTTTATTGGCATCCTCTTTTGGCTTGGTTTCAGCAGCATCTTCTTTTTCTTGGCCAATATCTTTTTTCAACTTTTCTTTCCACTGCTCTTTTGCTTCATGAGCACTCTATTTTGGCTCGGGTTTAGCATCAGGTTCTTTCTCTGTTTCGATTTCTTCTTTTTTCTTTTCATTCTTCTTCTCTTTTTCTTCACCGGTATCCTCTGTTGGTTTGGGTACATCAGCAACAGCTTCTGTCTTGCTCATTGTATCTTCTTTGGCTTTTGTCATTGGTTGGTATTCAAAATCTGACTTATGTGCTTGTTTTCTTGACTTTTGATTGATTCTCTTGACCATTGATCTTTGTTGGGGACTTCCAGTTTTTTTGGCGGACATTTCCTTTAACTAGTCTTCCTTCTACGCAATTCAGCTATGAATTTTTGTTCCATTTCTTGCATTTGTGCTCTCAGGGATGCTATGAGTTTGTCTTTGTTGTCCTTTTTGGTTGATGTTTGTGCTTAGTGTAGCTCGACTTTTTCGCGCCCCCTTTCAGAAGTTGAAATAAGCCCTATAGTATCGGACTCCCACGGTTCTGAATCTGATTCTACAAGTGCAATATGAAATAGATAAACACCAAAGAGTCCAAATTCGGCGAATCTTTTGGAAAATCAATTTTGAATCAAATTGTCAAAACTAGATAGCTTTGCCAGATACAGAGTCGCCACCTAAATGCTTTATTTTGAAAAAATTTAGGAAACCCATGACTCGTACCAAAGGCAACGTATCCGTCATCACCAAGATTGTCTCAGCTCAGGAACTTAGGTACAAGAGGGGAATGTCATGAATTGAACACCCCCGCTCGCCCGATCAAAGATCGACCTCTACTAATCATGATATGAATCTTACTTTGCATTTTATGTTCTTGTTCCGGTTATTAATCTAGCATTGCTATGTGATGCGCACATACAAGTATAGACTAACTTGCAAAAAATGGAATACTTGAGTCATGTTTGTTTTCTGAAAAGAGTTTGAATTTGCCACTTGAAAAGTGGGCTTAAATGTGCATGGCTCAAATTATTCCAATTCAAGCAATTAGCCTTCATCCACAAGCATACAAGCAGGTATATCAATTAAGCACTTAGCCTCACGGTAAGCATGCTAGACATGGCAACAATCACACTCACGCAATATGCTAAAGCAAGTAAAGGCTCACCTTGTTCTCCAAGCCAAAGAGACATAAGAGAGTTAGAAAAAATACATGATTCCTAACTATGCAATATGACTAATGCAACACGTGCGATATGTAATCTAAAATAGGCTCGGCTACTTAACATGGTATATGAATTAATTGATAGCATGTGGTTTAAGAATGTATTCAAATAAGTATTAAACTAACAATGCAGTTGGAATGATGAACCGAGCCTCGGTGCATGCAATACAAGTGGATGCAAACATGAAGAATACTAATTTAAACGTGATGTCCCTATACTAACCATCATAAGCAATTAAATAAAAGGGAGAAAGACGTGGAGTTGGAAGACATACACATTATTACAACATTATGCTCTCACGAAAAAGAGTCCGAATGAATAAACTAACTAGCTAACTATTTAAGCTAAGCTAATTAATTAACTGTTACAAACCAAATGAAATAAATTAACTCACAACTAATTAACTACTTTAGCTAATTAAATAATTACAGCACAAGTATAATTAAAAGAAGTAAGTAAGCTAAACAATTAATTAATTCGCCTCGGGAAGCGAGGAATGTTTATGCGCATGCTCGATTTTCACCCGAAAACTCACTGTTTTGCTTCTAGAGAGCCTCTATTGCACAATAGAACACATATACTGTTGCCCACTTCCAGAATGGCTCTGCTCCGCCAAAGGAACACGTTGCTGAATTTTGCATTAGTGGCCGGTCGACCACTGGTGAGGGATGCCGGCCATCAAAGGTGGTCTGCCGGCCACTGCTGGCCATGGAAAGTGGCTTGTCGACCACTGCTGCCCAGTTCACCTTGTTGCAACAGAGGACAAACAGAGCATGCACAGGGTATTCTCTAAGGTTGTTTTCCATGGAAAGAATGAACTCCTTAGTTCACAAACTCCCTGTTGATCACCCTCAAGGGTAGGAAGTGTGTTCTCAAATCCTCAATTCAAAATTATAGAGTTTATGGTATGGAAAGTGGCTAACTCTCCAGGTTCTCTCACTTTTAATTACTAAACACTCTTCCTTATGATCAAGGAAATTGATCTTTCGTTATATCAGAATTTTTGGAGTGTTTTTGGTGTATGGAAATGAGGAATTTTAGTAACTATGGAAGTTTGGAAGTGTTGGCTCAAAATTGAAAATGTAGACAATCTTTTACTCTCTTTTCTCTCTAACTCTCTTGAAGCATTCTTATGTTCTTTTTTTTTTTTTGCTCCCCTGAGCCTCTCCCTCTTTGGCTTTATATAGGCAACAAAGTATAATATAATAATATAAAAAGCTATAGGCATATAATATAATAATATAGATATTATATAAAGATTATATTTAATATACTATATATATGTTATGCTGAGATTTGGATGTCGGCAGCCGAGGGCTGACCGACATCAAAACAATTTTTTATTATTTTTCTTTTACAATATATATATATATATAAAATAAAATATCTAAAATATATAATTTATACCAAAATACTAAACATATAATA